ATTATTACATTAAATCATTTATTACACTCTTATTATTACATTAAATCCTTCATTAAACAGGTGAAGTCTCTTTAATGTTGTTTAACGTGAGTTTCTTCTTTGTTCGCAGCGTAAGCGTCTGGCGTCTCATTATCTGAACAGTTCACTCTTCCTGTCGGCACGAGGTAAAAAAAACACAAACTAACAAAAAACCTCAAAACTCAGAGAAGCAAAGAGACTTCATGTGGTTTAATATTTAGTATTTAATATCTGCTTTCAGAGAGGAACTAGAGACACATTGATATCTTTATTCAGCTTGTTAAATGAATATGTAACCATAAATCATATAGATACATTAGAGCATGTTTAGGTGTTTTGGGTCAGGCTAGCAGTTTCCCTCTGCCTCCAGTGTTTGTGCTAAGCTAAGCTAACCGGCTCTGCTGCATGGCCTCAGCTCTCACCTGTGTGTCTCTGCCACTAACCGTCTGCTCTGCTTCCATTCACACGCAAGACTCTGAGGATCTCTGCTGGAAGGTAGGTCACATGACCAGTGATGTCACGGCCCTGTCACCTGTGTGTGTGTGTGTGTGTGTGTGTGTCATGTAGAATGTAGAACGACTTTACTAAAAAGATTAAAACTGATTTATGAATAAAAGAGAGAACTTGTCATTTCACTGCTGCTCTTCATCTCATCTTTATGTTCATATTTATCTATTGAATTAACATTGAAACATTTTGTCTCCAGTTTGTTTAGCTTCAAATAAAACAAACTTTACTGTAAACGTAACGTCTTTTCTACACTTATTGACCGTGACGTTTACGGTAACTCTGTTTTCTGTGGCGTCAGGAGGACGTGGAGCATGACGACCACTGTGCCGTCTGTAGGGAGGACGGAGAGCTGCAGCCCTGCCACAACTGCCCCAGAGCCTTCCACCCAAACTGCCTCCACCCGCCACTCAAAACCCCCCCCAGAGGAGCCTGGTACTGCCCCAAGTGCCAGAAGAAGGTCTGAGCTCGACTTCATTGTACACGCCTCAATGAACTAAAACTGTCAGATATGAAGCTCAGTTCCTACTTTATATTACTCTCATAATTATTAAAAATAAATATAGTTATGTCACCTCATGTCAGGCTCCATTTAGACACAGAGTGATGCTGACTGTATATGTTCAGTATAAATGTGTTTCTGGTTTAATAAATCAATAATTCACTTTTTCTGTCTGATCTTCAGGTTCTGAACAAAGAAAACATGTCGTGGCCGCAGAACTTTGTTCAGTCCTACGTCACACACAAGACGGGTAAGAACCAGCTGCTACCAGTGTGTGTGTGTGTGTGTGTGTGTGTGTGTCGTTGTGTTGTTTCACAGCTGTACTGATGACGTGTGTGTGTGTCGTTGTGTTGTTTCACAGCTGTACTGATGACGTGTGTGTGTGTGTGTGTGTGTGTGTGTGTGTGTGTGTGTGTGAGCAGTGAGGCAGGAGGAGAAGCGACGGCTGCTGAGACGAAACACCGAGCTGAAGAAAGAGTGCTCTCACCTGGAGGAACAAGACGAGAAGCTCAACGACACGCTCAAAGTAAAGCCGCTGAAAGGGTTAAATGGATGAATGAATAAGGGAGCGCTTGATTTCACCACCTCCTCACTAAGACGGGTGTACCTGGTAGTTTGACGTTCTGGGTCTGTTTGCTGGTTCTCTTTGTCTTAATTCAACTCTCATATCTTTACGGTAGATATGGAGCTACAGCTAGTTAGCTTAGCTTAGCATAAAGACTGGAAACAGGGGGAAACAGCTAGCCTAGCATGTTTCTGTGTTTGGTTTCTCTTTTTGCAGCGCGTCGACCTCTGAACTATAAATCCACATTATATATTCATTGAATTAACATATAGTATATATATGTATATAGTATAATATACATAAATATTATTGTATTCACATTAATTTAAATTGTCATGATTAATTGCTGACCGTCATGTAATATTACTTTGTTTGGATTAACTGAATATGACGGGAATTTAGTTCTATTTGATTTATCTGCTTATTATTTTTTACAAATATTTACTACATAATATAATCCACTGTTCATATCAAACAAAACCAAAAGCTGTACAAGATATTCATCTCTTTGTGTGTTCGTACTAGTTTGTAAGTTGTTTTCACATTGTGATATAATTATTTCAATAAAGTTGGTAAAACAAAAAAAGCCGCTAACGTAGCCGCTATCTATGACGGTGTATTAGTGCCACTGTGCCCCCCCCACATGTCTTTCCTTTGTGAGGTCGGATCAACATTAAACACTGTGGTGCAAAATATATTAATTATATTATTATTTATTTTTGTTCATTAATTTCAGAGATTATTCAAGTTTTTATATTTATTTTATGTTGTGTTTTTACCGTAAATGTACAACTTAAAATCTCGTAAATTCTGAGTATTTTTCCTAATATTCTTTATTATGTTCTGCTACATGTCGGCTGGTTTGTAATAACTCGTGTGCTCGTGTGCAGCAGTGCATGGACCTGAGGGAGCGTCTGTTGGGGCAGCAGAGAGACACTCAGGCGTCACTGGAACGCCTCAAAGCTCTGATCCGGTTGATCCAACGCGACCAGCTCATCCAGGTCACCATGACCACCACCGCCACCATCGCCGCCGCCGCCTCCTCCCTGCTCTCTCAGTCCTGGATCAAACCCACCAGCACCGTCACCGCCGCCCCCCCCATCGCCGCCACCGCCGCGCCCCCTATCGCCGCCACCGCCGCGCCCCCCATCGCCGCCACCGCCCCCGTCATCGCTGCCGTCCCGGGCCCCTCGGCCACGCCCCTCCAGCAGAAGAGCCACGCCCACAGCCAGGATGACGTCAACAACTAGACGCGGACCTTTTTTCCACGCGGACCTTTTAAGGGCAGTGATGAGTTCCTTCTTTTGTCTGAATAATATCTGAAACCGTCTTTTCTTTCCTCCGAAGGAGCTGAAAGAAAAGACACAAAAAAACTTGAGAAAAAAAGAAGCGTCTTCACTCCCATTCAAGTATTTTTTAAAAACCCAACACCTACAGTGCTTACGAGATTTCTTTTTTTATGTTATTTTCTATTTATTAACGTTGTTGGCCTTAATGTATTTATTACTAAAGTTAGATTACAGTGCTGCTGCCGCAGGAACATGACAGGAGTTCCTGTGGGCGGTCCTAAAGATATTTCCCTTTTTTAAAACACAGGTCTGATTATTGTTCTGCATAAAGCGAGAGAGAACGTAGAGTTAGTGCTAGCTGAAGGAAGGACTGTACATTGATATATCTCAGTAGATGTTTGTTCTCATTCTCATATGAACAATGTTTTTTGCCATAATAATTCAGGAAAAATGTTTTTCATCGTGTATGTGAACGCATACGAGCCTTCAAAACAAAAAACAGAGAATAACTTTTTTTCAGTATTAATAGAGTTAAAGTCAAAGAAAAAAGTATTTAAGATAAAACTACAGAAATGAGCGTTTCTAGTGGAGATTTTAGTATTTTCATGCTGATGCCTGTTGATAAATGTAAGTTTGGAGTATTCAAGGGGATCACTGTACATATGTTGTATTATTATTATTATTATGAGTATCATTGCAGTTTTTTTTTTACTGAAGTCACACATCTGAAACAGGTCGAGTCTCTGAACCTTTAACTGTTTTCTGCTCGACGGCAACGCGAACAACAAGAGGACACAAACAGCGGCGTATCTAGGCAACTGTTGACAACAAATCTATTTAAAGTGAAGGAGAAGGGGGGGTGGGTTATAGAAAAAACCTTGAGATCAAAGTTGTAAATTAACGAGAAAGAAATCCTAAATTTGTCATGAACCGTATTTTTATGCAGAATCAGCACATTATCATCAGCGTATGAAGAGATAACAGTAAATATGGTTCTGTTCAGAAGAAAACCTTTAATTTAATCTCATTTATTTTATTCATGAGTTGATTTGTTTTCTGGGGAATAAGCCTCCTCTCACGGTTCTGTACTTTATTTATATTAAGTTTTTACCCACAATGCCCGGTACGCCAACGTAGAAACAAGAACATGTAAAATATCACATGATTTTACATTTCTTTCTCAGAGAAATATGTAAAGCTAAGCTTAATGAAAACAGTGATAATTAGGATAAATCCATTGAAATTTTTAAATTGAATTTATTTATTTATTTATTAATTCTTTGTTATAATTCAAAATATCAAAAAAGCTAAAAATCAGGAAATCTTTTAAAAAGTTCCTGAAGATGTGGCTTCAACAACAACATTTAAACTTTAGAAGACATTTAAAAGTCTTAAAATCATGTCGTCGTATTTTGTTCTTAATCAGAAAAGATTTCAAGTAAATTTAGTTTCAATCAGGACGATTATTTTTATTATTAACGTGAAACGTCGAAACCAAAAACATTTAGTTCACCGAGTTTAACAAAGAAAGCACTTCTCATTTGAATTACATCAATATTTCTGCTTAAAAACGATGAATCGATTCTGAAGATAACTTCTTTGATCGATTGATCGTCTCAGTAGAAAGAAGAAATTAATATTCGTGCTTGTTCTTCCGTCACAGAAAAGAAACAGTTAAATAAAAAGAGACTTGACGTGTTTGTTCACAGCTGCACTCGAACACTCAGTGTGATCCCCCCCCACTTTAAACCAGTATAGAAAATATGCCAAAAACCTGTTCCTTTGTTTTTGTACTGGGATCATCTTCAATAACGTCTATTGTGCTTTTTTTCTGCCTATTTCATGTTTTTCGCTCATTGTTTTTTTACTCGTGTTTTATGAACGTTGAGCGGCGACGACGAGCCGGTTAACGAAACACTGCCTCAAGTACAAACAATCCTTTCACATCCAGGTTCTTATTGTTTTATCTTTTAAAGAAACCAGTCAATCCGAAAAACGGGAAAACTCCGTAAAAAACCTGCAACAACACGACGAAGACGGCCTCTTGGTCCTCACCTCGGTGCGTCCGTCCTGCTCAGTCTTCCTGCTGGTCCAGAGAGGTTCAGTTTAATGTTAACATAGATTTTGTCCTTTTTTATTGATTGATCATCCGTCGATGCACAAACATGAACAAATGGTTTCCATGATTCAGAGGGAAAGATGCCTTTTATCAAAAGAAAGAAAAAGGAATCTGTGTTTGAAGTGTGAAGAGGTTGTTTTTATTCTTATTTCTAATCATATCCTGAGTTTGGTGTCTGAAGTATCAAAGATACTGAAACGATTGTTATTAGTGGAGAAGCTTCATCTGTACGGCACAAAACACGTCAGAAACAAACTGGTGCATTCGTGGCAGCGAACAACGACACGAACGTTAAAGACGAGCAATACGCCATCAAAGCGTTCCCCAACAAAACAGATCAAAGTTAATATCAAACAATACTGGAAGATAAAGGTCTGTGTACATTTTGATCCAAAGAAGTTTCATTTTCAGTTTGCTCATTTTGTGATCAGCTGTTTAAATCAGCAAAAAAGAAAAAATCGATTTTGAATTTTTTCAAACTTATAAAATAAAAAAGGTTTAAATTCATGATTATTTGACTATCGATTAATCCCATTTCATTTATTTGTAAAAATTAAAAAAGAAAAGGCACAGATTACGACCATACCCTATTTGCGTATCGGGCAGAAGTTTGTCACAGATATTTAAACATATATTGACATTTGAGAAGCTGGGAAAAAAACATCTATTATTCAGAAAATTCTTTGGACGCAGAAATACACAGACATGAAGTACTGACTGTAATCTGACAAATACTGTGTTTTCATACAAATCAAGTGTTTTTCTTTGAAACGTTTCAACCAGACGTATGAAAACATTCATATCTGTTCCCGCTGTCACGCAACACTCTGAGCCAAATGCACGTTATGTTTAAAAATAAAATACACACATATAAATACACACATATAAATACATATGTAT